ATTCATTCTGCCTTTCATAAAATTCGAAATCCTCATTTACATTATAATCCATTTTAAACACTAAACTAGAAAACTCCAAGATGCACTGGCGATAAATGAACTTTATTCCTTGTTTCTTGTGTGAATATGTTCCTAGACGAGGTTTAAAAGTGGGGATGTAATACTAAAAAATCGTTATATATACTATACTTTAAGAAACTTTCATACTAATTCTTTGCATCTTAAAACATTCTTAAAAAAAATAGAGTTGTAGATACTCTAAAATAAGAAGTTTTATTCTTATTTTGCGCAGAGTACTTTTTAATTTAAGAACACTCACTTATTTTAAGCATGGGTGTTCTTAGAAAAATCTTAAGTGAAAGACGGTTATGTATACTTAAAATTCAGAAGTTTTATTCCAAATTTAAACACGGTACTTTTTAATGTAAGAAACCCGCATACTTATTATGAGCATGAGAATTTTTAAAAAATTCTCAAGCCAAAGTTTCTTTCTAATTTCAATCTCGCTACTTCTTGATCGAAGAAATCCTCTTGCTCCATTTAAGTATTGTAATTCTAAAAAAAATTTAAACAGAAGGAGCATGAAACAAGAAGTTTAAGTACATTATTTCTAAATTTAAAAACGTTTTATACTTAATTTAACTAGTAGGATTATTAATTTAAACACCTTTCCGGTTTAATTTAAAAACGCACACTAAAAAATTCTTGATTTTAAAATTAACAATGTTCGTGCTTATTTATAGCTTTTATCTACTCCTATTAATTTATACATTAATTATTCAACTGCTTTTGAGCAATTAATAGTATCAATAAACAAATAGCGTGAGTTTTAATAGTGAGTTATTATAACTCACGCTGGGAAGTAATGTCATTTGATATTTTAACAAGATAATTTTGACGTTTTCAAATTAATTTCTAATAATAGTGCTAAAAAAGGATGAATTTAGATAGTGAAGATTAGTTATTATGTACACCTTTAGAAATAAGAGAGATAGCTAATAATGCAATACAGAATTTATTACCAGAAAAATCAAGAAACAAGTATAACGGTGTATACTAAAATTTTCAAGATTGGTATAACTCGTTTACAGAAAATGTACCTTTGGCATATTTTATTGAACTTAGCAATAAATATAAAGTATCGTCTCTATGGACGTTATACTCCTTGCTAAGAAGCACACTCAACATAAATAATGGAATTAATATAGAGAATTATTCAAAATTACGTGCGTTTCTTAAACGTCAATCAGAAAAACATATAGATAAAAAGGCAAAAACATTTACGCCAGAACAACTTAATAATTTTATAAATTACGCTCCTGATGAGAAATATCTGGCGATAAAGGTAATAGCTTTTACAAAAATTTAAACATTTTTATCATCTAAACTCAAACAAATAATGATTGAGAGTGAAAGCAGGTAGAAATACGACCAAATCGGAGGCGTGCTTATTATTTTTGAGAGGGTACAATTATTTAAAATATTCATACAATTTCTTTTATTTATTTCATGAAAACTTTGCAATATCGTAATTTACCTAATCGTTATAGTCATTAGTGGGGCTTTATGAAAACGGAGTAATAATTGTGGTAATTATAGTAGGAACCAAATAAATTAAGAATATTAATAAAAATCACAATATATATTTCAAATTAAAAATAAGAAAGATACCTAATCAGGGGTTGGTTTGGTGACAGAAACAATATTATCAATTTTACTATTTAAATAATAAATTTAACTTTATTTCACAAATTAACGTATATTTATATATTATGTCGAGGCCGAAGTCAGTTATGAACTGTCTCTTAAGTTTCTTCTTGGGTTACACATACAGAAGTATTACTTAAATTTTAAATTAAAATCATAATGACGGATATTGAATATCCAATGCAATTGATATTTTTATTTTGTTTTGTTTAGTTATTTTTAAATTTTTATATTTTTTAATCTTTTTATATTATATTTAGTTTTTAATTTACTTCGCTTTGTCTATAAAATTTTTGTAATTTTTCAATGACAATAAAGCATACCTCTATATATATATATGTATATATATATATATATATATATATATATATATATATATATATATATATATATATATATATATATATATCTCTCTCTCTCTCTCTCTCGGTTTACCTGCAGTTCCTCGAAACTAGCCAGCCTTACCCAAGAAACCCTAATTGGGTTCGGCCAACATTAAAAGACATTTGGATATAACCTACAGGATTATGTTTTCTTGACCGCCAAACATAATAATAATAATAATAATAATGTTTATTTCAAATTTATGTAACAATGTACAAATTGATACAATAATAATAATAATTAAATAAATAAACATTTGTATCCTGCTGAGACATTGTTCATGTCTGTGTACAGGAATTAAAAATACAAATTTATATAATAATTTCTAAATGGTAATAGTGAATGGTAAAAATAAAAATTATACCTAAATATATAGACTTCTTTTTGTGTACAAATTTTCTTCTAATCTTCAACCTCAGATTCGTCACTGCTGCTACCGCTATCATCAAAGTTAATTATGATTGGTTCAATATTGTGTTGAATACGGTTGTCTACGTCCCACATTTCTTGCTCTTCTTTTAAAACATGCTGAATGCATTTCTTCCAGTCTTCTGCAGAAACATTTTGAATGGCTTCTTGTAGGTAACGTTGCACGTCCACTAATTTAAATGTTCTGTTTTCTCGTGCCACATATCCTTTTACTTGCTCCCAGATTAATTCTATTGGATTTAATTTGCAGTGGTACGGTGGTAACCTTAATACTGTAATTCCACGACTTAACGCCATTTCATCCACTGCGAATTTTTTATATTTGTCTCTGTGTAATTTTGTTAACTGAAGTAGTTCTGCCTTTAAACTATCTTTTTTATATTGGATGTTTTTATTAATTAACCATTCTTGAATTGCTCGTTTTTTCCATGATTGTTTCGGTAATGATTCTAAATACCGACTATGATATTGTCCATGACGACGACAGACCCAGGTTCCACAAGTTGAATGATGCCTTCAAACCATTTTTCAAACACCTCCGCATTCATCTCTTCATGATAGTCGCCTGTTTTCTTGGATTTAAATATTAATTCACCATTTGGTAAAAATCCACTGTCGCTTCCTATATGCGTAACTATCAGACGACTACCCTTTCCAGACGGCTGTTTTAACCCAGTTGACAAGCCTTCAATAAAGGCTTGTCGTGCACTTGTTATATGACCATCCTGCCATACTTTTTTGACCGTATGTCCTTGGTTAACCCACGTCTCATCCATGTAGTAAATTTTTTTTTTGATATTCCGAAATTCCTCAATTTTTCGGAGATAATTTCTTCTCCATACTATTATTTCCTGACGTTCAATGAGAATGGTTTTCCTGTCGACTTTTCCGTACGTAAATTTCATTTCGTGTAAAATTTTCCTCAAAGTTTCTTTACTCATTTGTGGGACCAATTCATGATCGCTAACTGCCTCCAGAACTTTTTGCAAAGTGGGCAGCTCATTTCTGAAAAAGAAACTGTGAATAGTTGTGCGTATACTGTTTTTGGCTTCTTCATCAACTGTGATTTTTTTTCTTCCGCTACTAGTTTTTGGCGTTTGTACTTCCCCATGAATTTTGTTTTCTCTTAGTATTTTGTAAACTGATGATTTTGGTACACCCGTATAATCAGAGCACATATCAACTAATTTATCTTTTGTAATTGTGGAAGTTAATGATGTTGGAACGCCCGGTTGGTTATTCGGAGGTACATCCGTAGAATTACAGCACATATGCACTAAGTTATCTTTTGGTCGCTGATGATCTCTTTTAAGACAGTGAAATACTCGAAGTACAATTTGTTTTTTACTTAGCGACCGAGACTTCGACCGTTTTACCTTTTTCGACGTTGAAGGCCCTTCAATGTCTTCCATTTTTTGCATAGTTTTAGAACGGTGTAGAAATATTATTATTTAATGTTTAAACACTTATTAGCACTAATATTTTCACCAATTGTTCTTACAACACGTCGATTACTTACTAACTTAACTGTAAAACTTACAATTCACACCGTATAATTCAAAACCCGATGTTACGCTCGTGGTTAGAAATACACTACTGAGAACGTCATCGACGAGATGGATTTTACGCGTAACAGACAAAGACACAAATATCGCTCCGTACACCGATGCCATTAGTTGAAACAAATACTGAACAATCCATAAAATAATTAATTTTAAATGATCAAGAAATATATTAGTATTACTCATTACTGATTTTTGTTATAATTAATATCTTTTATTAGTACTATGATTGTATATTATCTATAATTTGCCACAACTTACAACTCTACTACTTACTCTATTTTGATTCTGCTAAAAACTAGTAAGGTAAAATTGAGATATGACAACACGGTTCACTCTCAATCAGTATTTGTTTGAGTATAGTCAATTATATAATTCTTTCTCGATACTTATGTCTTATTGTTATAGTCGTAGATAAAGTATAGTATTCAACTTGCGGTAATGGTCATAACTCACCTGATGAATTACAGCACTCGCCTGAGGCTCGTGCTGCAAACTTCATCTGCGTGAGTTATGACCTGCATTACTGGTCGTTAAATAATATACTATTAATTCAAAAATTAAACATGGTAATGTTAATTTTAGAATACCTGGATTCAAATAAAGAATATTTTTACTTAAATTAAAAATAGAATCGTGCTGAATTTAAAATACGCATTCTTGATTACATTCTTAGAAAAATTTATATGTGCAGAGGACTAAGTTCGTTTTTGATTTTGCTCTAAAAAGATAATATGTTTATATTATTTCAATTCTATCTACCCGATCTCAAATTTTGGATAGATATTCACAGACAAATATAATTTTTTTAAAATAGAAACATTCTGAAAAATGGAAAGTTTTTTAATAATGTATAAATATGTATTACATTCTCTTGTTTTGAACGTTATTCAATGGGTCAAATTCTTTCGCTTTCAGGAATTTACGGATGTGGCGTTTTAGTAACTGAAGGAGCGAGAGGCGAAGGAGGTTTTTTATTAAACAGTAAAGGAGAACGGTTCATGGAGAAATACGCTCCTAAAGCCAAAGATCTCGCCTCAAGAGATGTGGTGTCCCGCTCTATGGCTATGGAAATTCTTGGAGGAAGAGGTAAATTATCTATATTTTAATGATAATATAACAAATCTTGTTAAAAATGGACTAGCAAATGGTTTTAATTTTCTTAGTGTTTTTATTTTTTGTTTTATCACCATATGTATAAAAAATGTGGATTTCAATGTCAATAAAAAATATAATTGTCAAGGATTTACTTTAACATTTCAAAGTAAAAGTATTAAGGTTCTATTTCTTAGAAATATAATCTTTAAAATAAAATTTTAAGTTTATTACACATACGTTTCTGTTGTATGGGTTAGATAATCCTATGATTTGTGTAAACAAACTACATTTTAATTCTTTGATCCATCAACCTAATGGTCATTTGTTATTATTACCAATTCTAATGCAATTAATGCATGGTCGTTTAACTTCAAAATGTACCAAAATCAATGTTTGCAAGCGTGAAAAATGCGAGAATTTTATTATAACTAAGTTTACTAAATATTTTCACAAGTATCGTATTTAAAATACGTAACATAGTTAATAGAATATTAAACTTTGAAATATAATAGAGTTATGATTTTGTAGAAATATTACGAAACACCTTGTAAGTGAAAACGGTTAAAAACCTTTTACCATGGTATAAAAAATAGAAGGTAGGATATCAACTGTGTCAAAAATAGGACGACCACGCGCATAACGTCATGCGTAGAGTTTGTATAGGCGGGAATTTAAAAATACTGTCGAAGTATGAAGAAACTAAATGCTATTTACAGAAATTTCATAAATATTAAAGAATAATATTTTAAAAGTGACATCAAATATCTAAGGATATTATTATGGGATATTTAAGGAAAGAGCTATAAAGGAAAATAAACTCAAATACATATATGAAAGAAATATTTATTTGAAGTATCATTTCCTTTTTCTTTTTCTTTTTAATGATTTATTTTTGTTATATAAATTTTAATGCAGGTTTTAATTTAGAAGAACACTCGACGTCTAAAGAATAGTTTCTATAACCAGGATAATGAGAGGGGTATCTTCCCAACTTGGAATTTCTGAACTGGGGACCCTGGGTTAAAATTTCGCGCTTTGGGACTGTTTACCTGAAAAGGATTCGCAACTGATGACTCATTTATCTACAATATATTACTCAATTGAATATACTTAACAACTTATTTTATGAATAAGATGGGATTTATGTATACAATATACGATAACAAAAACAGGTTTTTAAAAATATTTTTTATACATGTAATATAATGCAAAGCATAAAAATAAATGTACTAAATACAAATAACTGCTACATGGTGGGTGTATATACAAAATTAAAATAAAATGTCACTGCATTTTTCCTGGACCTAGTCACTGATAGTTTTTTTAATTCTATCATCAAGTACAACATGCCGAAATTTTATTTTTTTAAGACATAAATAATTTCACCTTTGCTATATATTGCGAAATTTTTAGCTTTTAAGAGAGTAGAGTCTCCAGTTAAGAAGTCCTGAGTTGCGAATGAACTAACGTGAATGTTTTGCTTTGAGGTCCATCTTATAATTAAAAGGTTAAAAGTTTTTGAAGCACCCAAGACAATTTTCTGTTTTAAAGTTATCTGCACGGCCACAGGCCACTGCAAGGGCGTCTTCGTCAAATTTTCAAGGAGGAGTAGGTAGCATTGCCTATAACATTTTCCTTTTCAGTATATTTGTTCAATAAAGGTCTCATGGAATGTAAAAATGTTAAATAAGAAAGAGGTAAGGCTCTCTGGGACCTACAACTAGAGCCGCCCTTTGGCCATTTCTGACTAACCTCTTATTGTCGAGGAATGTAAAAAACAACGTTTTTTTCAACTCCTTTGCTTTGATTGTTACTGTTACATCCCTAAACTGCGTACCTCATTTTTTAATGTTTATCATTAATACCACTCATAAAGTACACTGTTTACAATATAATATAATACAGATATTCGGATAAAATGTTATAAATCACTATTAATTACTTACAAATCACTGCAACCTGCATATGTCATATGATATTTACTTGGCGCCAACTCTACTAACTCTACGCATGACGTCAGCGCCGCCATGACACTATGCGCGATATCCCCCCCTGACCTTTTACAATATAAATTTTAGTAAAACAGGTCTGTCAAACTGAATTCTAAATGACAGATAATCCTAAATTTAAAGGCTTCTACAACAGGGTTTTGAAAAAAAACTTTTTAAAAAAAGATAAATTTTGATTTTAAATAAACTGTAGTATAAATAAACAAAAACTTGTTTAAAATAGTTTTTTTAAAATTTCAATTATCACTAAATTGCATAAATTATAATAAATCGATTAAACAAAAAAAAATTGTTGATGACCCAACTGCTTTCAAAAAATTTTGGGACAGGAAAACGTATTTTATATTATGGGCCAGCAAGTGTTCCTTTTGACCTGTGAGCAGATGTTATTGTTGCTAGGGTATAACATCATATCTTGCTTTTCCGATACCTACATATGCACCCATACATTCTTCAAAGACAAGGTTAGGTGTTTCTTGTAATTAGTTTACTTCTTCTTTTTTCTCTTCTTCTATTTCATCGTCGTCGTCATGGTTACCATGAAATGGCGCCAGCCCATTTTGGTGCACTACCTTTGCTTCACTGTTCGAGAACCTAGTTATGCGGTAAATATCATCAATTAATTTTTCTTGATGAGGTACGGGCCTTGTAAAGACCTTTGGAACATTGGAGAAAAACCCTTCTGTCTTTTTGGATAATGAAACCAGACTTTTTCGCCTTCCTTGAAACATTCTTCTGTGGCTTCGTAACGTTTCTTCATCTTATTTCTGGGATTTGAAGATGGGAGCGAACCATATTATCCATTTTTTCGTAGCTAAATCACATAATCTTTAACAGCTATGTCTTCTCCAGGTTGGCATCCAAACTCAAAGTCACGCGGTAGTCTCATCTCTCGCCTGAACAGTACTTTTGCTAGTGTTTGGCCTGTTGATTTATTGACAACGGATGCATAGGCCTTGAGAAGAGCAAAATATACTGTTCCTTATTTTGCTGATGGTTTGAAACCACTTTTGACTAGTACTTGCCAATGACATTTATTCGCTCTACCATTCTATTGCTATTCTATTACTGTAGTTCTTCATGACTAGTCTTAGTCTGATCAAATGGTAGTTTTTCGGTAACATGAAAGCGGTAAAAAAGTTTCTGAACGGACTTTTGGTGTGCTGAACACAAATCTGAAGTTTGCTGCCTCGTAGCAGTGCCGCTTCAGGTCGAAAAACACAAAAATCCTCAAAATTTACGGAGTTTTTCTGGTTTTCAACATGTAAAAAGAAAAGCTAATAATTCAACAAGTTTTAATTATACAATCGAATATTTTCCCTTGTTCCTCGGTCATGCTAGCGATTGCTCGGCACGGCACGACACCTGCTCCGGAGCGGGGGCTCGGCAGGTAACAGGTTATCCACAAACCCATAGATAAATTAATAAACATACATAATTTATCTATGCACAAACCACAAAAAAATACCGATAATGCCAACAGTAAATTTTAAAATATCTAATGTTATTGGTTGTTTCGAAATATTCGTGGACTTAATATCAGACATACGTGAAACTACTATTTCCATGGGAATGTCTATTCCGACAAGTTCGAGAATTGCATAACCTATTACCATGGGAATATAAGTAGTGGAATCTTTTCCCATGGGAAAATTTTCCAATGAACTCGAGAATCGAGCCCCTGGTTGGCACATATCAAAAAAATACTTAATAACATGTTTAATTTAAAGGTTGTGGTCCTGATAAAGAATATATCCACTTACAATTGAGTCATTTACCTAAAGAAAAGATTTTAAAGCAACTCCCTGGAATAAAGCAGACTGCGTGGGATTTTGCAGGTGTGGATATTTTAAAACAACCGATACCCATAGTACCGACTGTGCACTATGCAATGGGCGGAATTCCTACGAATTGGAAAGGACAAGTAATAACACAAGTGGTAAGTATTAATTGACCTTAACTATGGTTACTGTTAAGCTGCAACGACGCAAACGTTTATTTAAGCACATAATCTAATATCATCTGTGGAGAATGTTAAAGAAAACATTTTTTACTGAATTGACATTTACTACTTTAAAATAATGTCAAATAATGAGAATTTTCAGTTTGTATGTAATAGATGCCTATCGATAATTAATTTTATACGTTATGTTAAATTTATGATGGAATCAATTTGATGTTAAAAATACAGATTAAAAAGATATGAAATAAGGAATTCCGTACTACCTAAAGAATTACGGAACTACTGAAAAAAAAAAGGTCTAAAAAAATGATAGAAGTTTATGGTAAATACTAGATCCACTGAGTATGAAGCAGACATGGATACTTCAGGTCCCACAGCATGGTTTTTGAAGATGGAGGAGGAGAAGGAAAAGTGAAAAGAGGAGAAGGAGAAAAAAGAGGAAGAAGGAAGAGAAGAAAAAGGAAAGGTGAGAAGAGGAGAAGAAAAGACGCAGGAAGAAAGACAATGACTTGAAGGTTATCTGAGAATGGCTCAAGAATGGAGTCAGACATACATGACAAGAGATAGCCAAATATAGGGAACTGGACTCAGTGGGATTCCCTGTATCTTTACGATGGCCTATTGCACCGAAAGTGGGAGAGCCCCGATGGAGTACATGTAGTCCGCCAAGTGATACTGCCGAAATCACAGATTAAAAGTGTATTGGAGGAGCTTCATAGCAGCCGTTCAGGAGGACACTTTGGTAATAAAAGGATACTTGCACGAGTTCGGGAAAGACTTTGTTGGGTCAATTGCCGACGGGATGTAGAAGATTGATGTAAGGAATGTGCCTTTTGTAATGGCAGAAAAGGGCTCAAAACAAGAAGTCGAGGTAAAATGGCAAAGTACCTTTCCGAAGAGCCTTTTGAACGAATCGCCATATACAGGGTGGACCAATCTTGTGGAAAAGTTCGATATCTTCCTTGTTGAAAGAGATATTAAGAAAATTATGGACCATTTTAAAATTATTGGAAGGTTTTCAGGGTGTTACATAGCTCGTGTACGCACCAAACATATGTTTTTTTAATGATAGCCCCAGTATATTATTTTAGATTCTGTTTACTCATCTTTTTTCCATTCTCCCAATATATGGTTTGTCTATGTTATATAGGGTACTTTTCAAAGAATTAACAGTTTTGTGAGAGAATCGTACATAATTTAACGTTCAGCAGCCAATTACACACTGTAGAAAAAAAAAATTTCCCACACGAATTTTATAATATGATGTACTATACTTTTTTTTAGTTATATTTTTATTATCTGTTTATTTGTATACAGGGAGACTATTGAGACTCAGACCCTTGATTTTCTTGTTTTATTTAAATGGGACATCCTATATTTTATATCACCAGTAAAATCATCTGTTCCAAGTTTTTCATTTTTATAAAGCGTTCCCTATACCTAAAGTTAATATTTATCGATATTTTTTAATTATAAATGAAAATTATGGTTATTTTGATAAATTAAACTAGTTTTTCATAAAATACTCTTTATAAACAATAATAATATGTGTTATTTTTTATCTAGTCGCTAATGCGTTTAATATACCTGTTACCGTTCAGTTGACAATTTTGACATTTTAAAAATCAAGAGCAACTGCCTGTGTGTTAATGTTTTAAGTAAATTACTAATAATAAGATGAACAATACGAATTTTTCTATCCCAGAAATGGTGGATATGATTTATATACTAGGTGAGTGCAACAAAAATTCTTTACTTGCCTCCAGAGTGTACCACCAACGATATCCGGAACGCCGGAAACCAAATAAAAAGGCGTTTGAAAAACTAATGGACCGTTTTAATCGTACTGGTACTGTATCATACGAGCAAAAACTAGTAACAAAAACTGCTATCACGGAAGAGAATGAAATGAAAGTATTGTTGAGTATTTATGATGATCCGCATATTAGTAAACGAAATATTTCAAGACAATAACAAGTCAGTTACGGAACTGTTCAAAGAATCCTATCAAAACATAAAATGCATCCTTTCCATATCCAGTTACATCAATAACTTCTTGAACGGGATTTTAAAAAAAGAATGATATTTTGTGAATGGTCCAAACAAAAAATTAATCAACAAAGAAGTTTTGTGCTCTTTGATGATGAATCGACTTTTCATAAAAATGGAGGTTTAAATAGGCATAATTTTCACTATTATTCTACAACAAACCCACACATTATAGTCACTCATAGCCAAATGAGGTGGTCATTAAATGTTTGGGGTGGTATTGTGGTTGATTATGTGATAGGACCACACTTTTTTGAAGGACGAGTAAATAGTGCAGTATATTTGGATTTCCTTGAAAATCATTTGCCTACGTTACTCAAAGATGTTCCCCTTCACATTCGCCAACAAATGTTGTTTTTGCACGATGCTGCACCAGTCCATCACACTGTAGTAATTCATAATTATTTAAATAATCACTTTCCAAGACGGTGGATCGGAAGAGGAGGACCGATAGGGTGGCCAGCGCAATCACCGGATTTGACAAACAATGATTTTTTTCTGTGGGGTTATGTAAAAAACAAAGTATATAATGTGCCTGCAATGACAAAAGAGGACATGAAACCTCGAATCAGAAATGTATTTCAAAGTATTGATGTTCAAATGCTGAGAAATGTAAGTCAGTCATTTGAAATTCGATTACAAAACTGTGTCGATGTTATGGAAGGTCACTTTGAACAACTTTTATAATTATGTTTTAATTGTTTTGTTTGTTTTTGAGTTTTTTAGTATTCACACATATTATTTATGACTGTTGATAAAGAGTTTTTTTTATGAAAAACTAGTTTAATTTATCGAAATAACCATAATTTTCATTTGATGTTAAAAATATCAATTATTAACTTTAGGTATAGGGAATGCTTAATAAAAATGAAAGGCTTGGGACAGATGATTTTACTGGTGATATAAAATATAAGGTGTCCCATTTAAATAAAACAAGAAAATCAAGGGTCTGAGTATTGAGTCTCCCTGTATACGAATAAACAGATAATAAAAATATAACTAAAAAAAAGTATAATACATCATATTATAAAAATTGTGTGGGTAAAAAATTTTTTTTTTCTACAGTGTGTAATTGGCTGCTGGACGTTGAATTATGTACGATTCTCTTATATTAGAAGAATGGAAAAAAGATGAGTAAACAGAATCTAAAATATTATACTGGGGTTATCCTTAAGAAAACATATGTTTGGTTCCTACACGAGCTATGCAACACCCTATATACCTGCCAATAATTTTAAAATGTTAACCTCAAACCTGTCCATAATTTTCTTAATACACTTTTTTAATATCTCTTTCAACAAGGACGATATCGAACTTTTCCACAAGATTGGTCCACCCTGTATATCCTCGGACCACTTCCCTTAATAGAAAGGGGAACAAATACTATTTTTTAAAGTTGCCTGAAATAGTATTTATTTCTAATCAAAAAGCGACGACAGTAGCTGAAGCATTTATGACGAATGTTATTGCGAGACACAGAGTCACCCTGGAATTACATTCTGACCAAGGACGAAATTTTGAATCCGAACTATGGCAATAACTAATGAAACTGTTAGGCATCAGGAAAACACACACTATGCCACTCTACCCACAGTTCGACGGAATGGTATAAAAACACAATATAACGATATGCCAGTATCTTTCAATGTTCGTCTCTGATAATCAAAAGGACTGGTACACTTTAATTCCTCTATTTATGCTAGCTTACCGAAGTTCTGAACATAAAACTCCATCCATGATGATTAGTAGAAGGGAGATGAAACTTCCCCACGATCTTCTTTTTGGAAGGCAGCCTCCTGGTGAAGAAGAGGGCCGTACACATCTCTCGTACATACAGAACTTAGCAGCTACTTAGTAGCTTATAGGAGAACAGTCTGATTAAATTCCCTTGGCAGTACCTTGGCGACTTGGTAGCAGCTACCCAGTAGCGGCTACCAGCGATCAGCGAATTTGTAGAAGAACGTACCTTTACATTGCTCCCTCCTCTCTAGTTATTCGCCCCAGAAATAAAAAATAGCCCCACTCTTCCAAATAAATCATATTATCATCCGAAAAAACTATAATTTGAATTAAATTACAAAAAACGTGACAGAAACAGCTTTTTAACAGATAAAGACCAAATCATTGGGCAAAGACATGATTATTTAAGGAAAACGGCGGATGCAAAGAATTAGTATAAACCGTTTCCTCACTTAGACGAAACATGGATAAATGTTGGTTGTACAGGTTCAAAAATTTTGCAACATACCCCTCTTAAAACTGGGGAACAAGCCTTTATGGAAGGGATCTCTTACTCATAATAGCAAGGCAACATTTAAAAAATGTATTAAAGATAAGATGGCCCGAAAAAATGGAATTGAAATTGCCTACTTACCATGCAGAGTTAAATTTTATTGAACTGATCTGGTCACAACTAAAAGGTTATGTTTTTTAAAACAATAAAACATTTAAATTATCTGATGTGCAAAATTTGTTTTTGAAGGCAGTTACAGATGTAAATAGAGAAAATTGGAGAAAATATATTGATCACGTTAAAAAGATGAAAAATTTATTTTGGAAAGTGGATATAGCAATGGACAACTTAACAGACCCTATAATAATAAACCTCAGAAAAGACATTGACAATAATACCAGTAGTTATAGTGAAGGACAGTGACTTTTAGAGATAGTTCTTGACTTTTTTTATCTTTGACTAGCTTTTACCCGCGGCTTCGCTCGCATTTAGGCCGTTAAATAAGTATCAGAGATCATTACAATAGAAATGAATCAATATCAAAGGATGTCATTTGAAAGCAAGAGTTATACTTTCTTATTTTGCTTAGGAATTGCTTATCAGTAACACTTCAATAGCTCTTCTGGTTTACCAAGTAATGGAAGTGAAACTTTACCACTAGAATAACACATTCCAGCAGTTTCATCTTTCCATT